CTTCGGAGCCAGTTAGTCTGTAACGCCTCCACAGACGATTCCTTTTTCTGAAAGAGGTCTTCAAGTCCGGGTTTATCCATTTTGGGCGGTTTGTGATTGTCTTTCTTCTGAGAGGACAATTGGAATAAACAATCTCTTTCAGAAAGGAATTGAAAGTATTCCAGTCGCCCATTCGAAGTGGCCCGAGATTGCTCCGCTGAACCCAGTGACCGCATCTGCTACTATCGCCGTCCTATGACGCATCTGCAGCCAGCATGGCTTACCGGATTCCTGGTTTCAGATAATGGCTCTCAGTTAACTTCGTCGACGTTTTATGATTTCTGCCGCCAGCACAACATCCGGCATCTTCGCTCCCCGCCCTACCACCGTCAGTCAAACGGTCAGGCGGAGCGTTTTGTCGACGCGTTTAAGAGAGCCCTGTTGAAAGTTCGTTGGGAGGGGGCCATGGACGAGACAGTCCAGACGTTCCTGTTTTCCTACAGGACAACACCGAATCCGGCGTCCCCTGGTGGTGTTTCTCCTGCCGAAGCGTTGATGGACCGAAGACTGCGAACAACGTTTCATGCACTCGTTCCTACCGGTGTGCAGCCCCAGCAGACTTCTCCAGCCTCCCGCAGCAAGCTTTCCGTCCGAACACCTGTCTTCGTTTGTGATTATCGAGCCGGGTTCCTAGACTGGATTGAAGCAACCGTAGTAGCCCACAGAGGCAGCATATTGTTTGATGTCGACGTTGGTAGTGACATCTGGGTTCGTCACCACAACCAGATCCGACGGCGACATTGCAGTAAGAAAAGTGGGCTCGAGTCGCTGCCGTCACTCCCCCATGACATCCTACCGGATACCTTCGCCATTCCGGCAGATCGGTCGATTCCCGAACCAACTGCTGCCCTTCCTTCGGATGTACCGCCTTCGGTATCGACCACTGCCCCCCCCCCTGTCTCCAGACAATAAACCACGACTAAGACGCCGGACAAACCGCGTGAGCCGATCAACACGGCCAATGCAGATCAATCCACGACAAAAGTGGTACTGACCTACTTGGAGGGGAGGTGTTGGGAGTGCCTACACTCCTAAAAGCAAGGGCCAGCCAATCACGGGAGGCCACATGCGTTTTCTCTACTGCGCTGTCATCTTAATAGTGGCACCTCTCCATTGCCTTTTCCCCTCGGGCCTGATCGATCTGCGTATTGGAATTATTGACTAGCTCATGTGAAATGTTCTTCCCGGAGGGCATTGGGCCGTATGCGGCGAACCACAGTAGGGCGTTATAAACATGCGTTACTTCCAGTTAATCTTGACTTGCAATTTCCTAATACATATTTTCGTGGCCGGTCGCGTCCTCCTTCTCTGCCGCGTTGGTATTGGGGACAAGAGTCGAGTACGCATACGTTCCCACGTGCTTTCACGTACCAGGCCGGGTCATAACAATCCCTTTAAGCTTCCCGTCAATGGAGACATCACAATATTTGCGGGGAGGGCATTCCATGGTTTGGCCACTCTGACAGGGTTGTACAATTTTCGTACATCCAGGCTTGTTTTCTGAATGTGCGGTTTGGATGTGTGATCTCGGAGATTGGCCCTGGCGGCACTGGTTCGACAGCCAATGCGACTATCCCGTGATTATTTTCTCTTGCTTTCGTTGTTTTTCCACTCTTCAAAAAGAACCTGGAACTCAAACACTCGTTTCGTTCCACAACAAATCTTGTCAATTCGGGATTTCAAGTGTCAACCCACCAAACCTGGTGTAATTCGACGGGTTTCTACAGAAGTACAATTTATAATAGAATAGGCTTATTATAGAATAGAATAGGTTTATTATAGCGCCCCTTGGGCAATGTCAATCTCCCTTGAACACAGGAAAAAAAAACCTAAAAAAATCATCCATTTAGACTGCACTTTGACTTCATCTGTTCTGGGTGTCTGTTTAGCCAATAGAGCGCGAATTGAGGGTTTAAGTTAAAAAACCTGAGTTCCAAGGAAAAATAATCACAAAAGTTTTAAGAATGAACGATATGTACAATATAAAATTGAAGTGTGC